GCCCCCTCCTCCTCCTCTCCAATCCCCGTAATAGAATTAAGAGCGCGACAGCGATATTAAAATTTTGTTTCGAGAGAGAAACTTGGCAATGCCTCCTCCCAAGTTCCCGCAACAATATGAAAGAAATTCACTAAGAAGTTACGAGGGAGTGAACGGAGGAGAACTCACGGAAGAAAGGGGTGGGACGAAGAGGGATTGTTGATTCGCCGTTCGAGCGCGGAGATGGAAAAAAAAAAAAAGTCACTGATGCCACAAATACGATAATTGAAAATTGCGAGTCGTGGTCGATGTAATACGACTAAAATACAAGCTGCTTAATTAATTAATATTAATTTTCGAAATTAAGCCAATTTTCTATACTTTCGAGCCGGAAAGTCCGGGGTTCATTCGTTTGTTGAAAATTTATTTATTATTATATATATATTTCGAGAGTTGCGAAAGTTGAAACCAATGAATGTGATCGCGTGTTCTACTACGAAATGTAATTGACAAGCGTGCAAAGGTTGCACTTTCAGAACAGATTAGGACCGCATTTATCGCGAGAATGGATTTATATATATATATATATATCGTCTCTCAGACACGGACACAGAATTGACAAACGAACGATGAAATGAAAAATAGGAAAAAATTGTCGGGGGGGAAAAAAAGATTCGTATAGCACGTCCCTGTGAAGGCACGTTCGCGTAATGAAACGTTTATCGAAGAAAATCCGCGTCCAGTCTGAAAAACACGAGGATGCTCGTTACGTTGAAACGTAAATCGTGATCAGATTCGCTGGAATCCCTCGTAAACGAGTTACTTGATCCGGAACAGCGGTGTTGCAGAGAGGAAGCTCGAAAAACTTCAAATTGAAAACGAAACTTTGTATCGCGGTAAAGTATCTTCGATCGGGTGACGGTTCATTGACGAGACATATTCTATGCGTATATCCCGGATATTTAAGTTCAAAGGGTCGTTCAACCATCATTTCTTATGTAAAGATTAAATTTTATTCACATCAGACCGTTACACCGTGTATAATATCGTGGTTTAACGAGATTTAAAAAAAAGAAAAAAACGATTCGAGTGAATAATTATCGTTTCAGACTCATTAGGGAGCGGTTATTTTTAATCGTCAGTTCCTCTAGAAGAGCCAGCCCCCCTACCATTCTCCCTTTCCCTTCGTTTTTTTTGCCTACTCGCGAATTCCTTCGTCATTACATTAACGTTACCACGTTATCGCCGACGAGTTTAAAATAATTTACGAGTTTGTCGGAGAGGGGCAGCACGCAAATCATTCGAGGATATCAACTGTATCTGGCTGCTCGGTACAATCGATCGGCAAACCGTTGTTAATCGTGCATGCGTTATTCGTAATCGCGAACCGTTGGAGAACGAATACTATTTCTCGTTTCTCTCCTCATATTTCCCTCCCTCCCCCTCCCTCTTCCGGTTTTTTCTTCAATTTTTGATTAGACCGCGCGATTCCATCGCACGCCATTGGACCGACAACCGCGACAATTATCGTCCTCGGTTCACCAAGGTTTCCGTCGCCGTTACCAACGAACGAGCCGCCATCTTGGTGCCGCGGTTTTCAACGCGGTTGTCCGCGATGCCTCACAGTTTGAAACAATTCATCCCGTGACGTACTCGCGTCAGCGGAGAGTATATTTTTTTTTCGAGAGGCAAAAAAAAAAAGAAAAAAGAAAAAAAAAAGATAAAAGTACAGCAGCAGCAGCAGCAGAGTCGGATTATCTAAGGGATCAATCCAGCCGCGTTTGTGTATCATCGCGAAGCTTTTCAGCGGTCGGACAATGGTTGGAATTTTTGCGGACATTTTTCACGATTACTTCCTACGCCATACTGTGCCTAGGATCGCGCGTCATCGACGAATTACAACAGGATCGGAACGCATCGCTCCACCGTCGATTAAATTCCGTTCGTAGCTTTGCTCTTCTCCCCATTTCTTCCTTTGTTTTTTACTTTTTTCTTTTTTTTGTCTCTTTTACTTTCCTCCTGTTGTCGTTATATACGAGAGATCGGATGGAATCGAGAGCTCAGGACTAGAGGTATTTTTCTTTTTCAACTTTTTCTTTTTTCCTATTTTTTCTTTTTTTTTATTTTTCTGTAAAACATAAACCAGAGAATAACTATCTTTCCATGTACCGTATGCCAATGATTTTTTTTCACCTCGCGGCGCGAAACCCGGGATTTCGCGGGAGTGGGGGGAGAGAGAGAGAGGGAGGGAGAAAGGAGGATGAATAAAATCGCTGGTCACGGATTTCCAGGAAGTTGGGCGTTCGACTGGCAATGGATCATTCGATTCCACGATCCGCCCTCCATTTTGCCACGTGTTTTCCTTGTTTCCCAGGCCACGCTAAATAACTTCCAATCGCGTAATCGTGTCGGATACATACATACCACTGGGAGAAGAAAGTAATCGACCGAATATTGGATCGATCGCGAATTTCCGACTCTACGAATCAAGCACAACAGTTACCAACTCGTGTGTTCAATCTTCTCGCATCTTTATGCGTTACAACAAGAAAATCACACTCGCGCTTCTCCCTTTTGTTCCAGAAACCGTCCCGACCGTTAACTCGTAACGTAACGGATCCTCGAACCGCAAGTGTAATCGCTCTCTACGCCGATCGCGAAACTTTCGAAATTTCACCTTTCGTTCGCGAACGAGGATGAAATTTCGAACACGTCGAAAGGGTCACGTATCCGCGCAAGTTTCCTTTATGTTGCGCTCGTTGGTCGATAGATAACGCGTACGAAATCGGTGATACGCCCATCGAATGGTGAGGGAAAACGATAACGCTATAATCGAATCTCCCCTCCACCGACCGATCGAGTTTTCGATCGAGGAGCAGAGGACGCGCAGCGTCCAACTTTTCGACGCTTTCGATCCGAAAGGGACATTTTTCCGAAAGACGGGAAATGGATAAATGGTTGGATTCGGCGCGGGAAATGTACGCCTATAACGTGTAACGACATTAATCAAGGGATTCGCGTAATTTTAATTAAAAACCGCACCCGGGCCGGGAACGGGCCGTGAAACAAATTTAATTAATTTTTCACCGATTTTCACCGCCTCGCGGCTCGATCTCCCGCCCCGCCCGCCGCGTCGACGACAATCCCTGGCGCTCGTTATTTATCTAGGCGGAAAGGTGGCGGAGTTTCGGGCCACGATCGAAACCGGATTTCTGTATTAACGCGTGAGTACAATCGGGAGCGAGTGAATTAGCGGCGGGGCCGGCCCACCGCGAAATCGGTCGGCGCATTATCGCCGCATCATCGATATTCCTATCCCTCTCATTTTTTTATTACGACCAGGCTTCGATAAGCTACCGTAAGCAAAAAGGCTTGACGAGCTTTCGTTACGAATACGTCTTTGTATTCGTTTTCTTTTTATACATTTTTTTTTTTTTTATATTTATTATCAGCGAATCCATATTTTCCTCTCGTTATACGGGGATGGAAGACAACGGGGTGGCATTCGAATCGTAGGGTTGTTACGGTAACGTGAATCGATATCATTTCTCACCTTTGAGAATTTATTCGTCGCGCTGCTATCACAACTATCGCGCGAGGAAGGGGAGGGGAAGGATTCGAAGATACGAAAAAATTGGGAAAAGATTTTCAACGGACGTCCAATTTTTAATCACCAAACGAGTCTCGTATCGGCGCAAGCACTCGGTTCTCGAGCTGCGTGCTCGATAATTCGATCGAGGCACACCAGCCTCCGTCGCGTAAGCGTATCGCGTACGTGCACCGCTAGCTCGCCGAGGGATTAATGATACCATTATTCGAGCGTCATCGCGTCTACGTGGAATCGAAAGGGTGTTTCTAGCGCGGCGCCGCTTCACCGCTCACACGTACGCGCTCAAAAACACCGCCGTTAGAGTAAATAGACAAAGACGAGCGGATCGAAGCTTGTGGCCGCCTTTTTTTTTTTTTTTTCTCTCCTCCTCCCCCGCGCTTTTTTACCTCGCGCCATTTTTCCCTCCCTCCTCGCGATGCACGTGGCCTCTCCCTCGAACATCTCTTTCGCGTTCTCCCTCTTCGCCCCCTTTTTTCCCCTCTCTTCTTCCTTTTTTCTCTTCTCTTCTCTTTTTTTTTCCACAACGCGATCCAGCGCAACCGAGGCAGGTTCGAGCCTCGAAGCGGATTCGAAGTCGGTCAAGCCGCCATATAGTCGAGTCACTTCTCTGGTTGCAAGCCGGTTTAAAAGCATTTCGGCGGCACCGTCATCGCCGCGAGACGAATGCTAACACATCCATCACGAGATATCGCGGTCTCTGGTTGCGCAACGAACGCCAACGCCTTCATCCTGGGCTGGCTTCGAGAAGACTTTTCGTGCTCGAAGGGAGGAGGGAGGAGGGAGGAACCCTTTATGATACGCTCGAGTAAAGGAACAAAGCCTTTGCCCCGTAATTATACGTAATTATACGTCTGACGTAATGCGTTATTGCGCATTACTCCTGGGTAAGCGCGTTATTTTCCTTCCCAAGTTTTTCCCTTTTAAATTGGTTCTTAATTTTTCCAGATCAACAGTTATTCTCGAAAGCGAGATTTGCGCGAGTCGAGACGACGACGTTGTTGAAAAATTGTGTTTTCAATTTTCGATCAATAATTCTTGCATTGTGGTCGTTTCTGCAAAGCCGTGGTTTGAATCAATGAAAGCGACGTTGCTGGTATTCATTGATATTCATTTGTAGGGAAAAGGAGTGCCAAGTTATCGAAATATCGCAAAAGGGATTGGGGAGACTCGAAAGGAGATTGGAAAACACTGGTCGAAATGCTGGATCGTTACGATTTACGATGCTCGCCGAGATAGAAACGTTTGAACTCGTACCAGTTTCCCTTTTATCTTTCCCGGCGAAACAGATCACTCCCGACGATGTTCGTAAATCCTCGTACAATCTTCCACTTCTTACCACCCGTCGCGATCGATATTCGTAGATAAAAGACGAACTAGAAAAAGGGAGAGTGAGAGAGAGAGAGAGACTTACCTCCGCAGGCGGTTTGCCAGCCACGCTGACGCACTCGATCACCAATTCCCGGTCCTCGGTCGTGATAAGAAAGTCACCCTGAAGGATCTTTGGTTTCTGAGGCGGAACCAGCACGCTCAGCTTGGCGAATCTCGAGCGCAACGCCGGCTGCCCGTCGTTCGTCGGCGAGGCTTGACACTGGTAAGTGCCGTCGTCCTCCAATTCGACCGGGTAAATATGCAACGAGAAGTCACCTGGAACACGCCATCGACATTATTCCCTTCGTATTATTCCCTATGCCCTATTTCGATGTATTCTGTTACGTCCGTTCGTTTCGAGTAAATCGGGTTTGTTTCTCGCTCGAACATTCTAGGCCGTGAATACAGGCTCAATTATGACGCAGAACGACGTTATTGTCGTTGCATTTATTTCGAGAGGGGGATGAATCTTTTTCGTTCGTGTCCTCATAAATAACATTGCATTTCACGTCTATTTCTCTTTCTGGAAAAGAGTTAACGCGACAAAATGAATTCGTCGATATTTTTGACTAGAAAAAAAGAGAGAGTTAAGTTAATAAACATCGTAGAAATCTCTCGTGATCCGTCCGAATGTAATATAAACGAACGACGCGAAACGAGTTGGTCTCGTCGAAATCCACCAATGTTCGCCGATCGAAATTCCAACTTCTCCGTTCGATTGGTTAGCAACCGAGCCGTCCGGGGAGAATACGTTCGAGAGGGGGATGAATTTTTAGCCAGGCCAGGTGTCAAACGTACGCTCGGCTTTCGAAAATTTCGGAGGTGGTCCGCGTCGAAATTGAACCGGCAGCCAGGAGATTTTCACTTTATATCGCGTATCGCGAACGTTGGATAGTAGCGAGAGAGAGAGAGAGAGAGAGAGAGAGAGAGAGAGAGAGAGAGAGAGAGAGAGAAGCGGCGAGGGGGCGGAGAATGGGGCGGAGGGGTGTGCTCGGATAGAAAACCATTTACTCCCCCCTCCCCCTCCCGGTTGATTGAAACTAACGGTTTACGAGCGTCTGCTCGATAGTATCGTGTCGGCTCGTACGTACGAAATTTCTCCGACTGACGCTTTTATTTTGAAATCTCCACATATACGTGTAAGCTGTCAGAAACAACGCGGCGCTCGCGCACCGCGCGAATCGGCGCGAATTAGAACGGCCCGTTCCCGGCCCCGTCAACAACAAACTCCTTTTTTTTCTCTCTTTTTCTCCCTCCCTCTTCCGCCTCCTCCACTCGTCCCACCTAGCCCCCTGGATCTCCTCTCCACCATCCTCCACCCCATCTCGTTCCTCGACTCCAGGTTCGTTCGTTCGCGATCCTCGAATCGAGAGGGATACACCTGCGCTCCCACTCCCCTCCACCGCCGAGTACGTCGATTATCACCAACAACCACCAACAACCGAGTGAATTCGTCCGATTTATTTGCACCGCCGTTCCTTCTTCCTTACCCTCTTCCGTCCGTCCATCCATCCAAACATCTATCATTCTGCCTTTCCCACCAACGCCCCCTCGATTCCCTCTCGATTCCCGCTCGAGTTTCTTCTTTCATTCCATTCATGCAAGTTTCACGAGCCGGTCAACCAATTGCGCTTCGAAACGGACGGATGAAACCGAAACGAGGCGACGTACGACCGAACGATCCGTACGACGGACGTCGGATCGGAGGATGGGGGTTTGGGATAGAGCCACGGAGAAGTATGGCCGGGATGACGAATGGAAAAATGGGCCGTAGTACGGTTCGATCGTTTCAACGAAACAAATAGCGCCCTTGCTACTTGTCCTAAAACTTTCCCTCTCGTTTCTCGGCTTTTGTCAACCGTCGATCGTCTCTCGACGTCGGCGTCTCGTTTCCAAATGGATCGCGTTTCGCTATCATATCGATTCGTTCGACGCGTTAATCAAGGGGCGTATTTTTAACGAACGGGATTTCGAACGAAAAATTCGGGGCGAACGAACGTTATAATATTAGGACGGCATTTGACGCGAAAAGAGTCGCGAAAAGATTAAATAGATTTCGCGCTTTCTCTTTCGTAACAGCGATACAAAGAGTTGGTGCGCGTGGTCAAAGAGATTCACGAGAGATAGAGCGCGATTCGTTATCTTGGTTCAAACGAGATAGAGCCACGATAGAGATCATTCAATCACGTTCCAACGTACATTTCCAATGGGGAAGGCCGAGTTCCATTATTTATCTAACCACTTGCGAGAACTTGTTAATCCGTCAAACGAATATATCTGTTCACACAGGACTCCCCTTTCAAACGGCCCGCCAAGAGTTCGCGGAAAGCGAATTAACCGTCGCCCACGCTTTCTTCCGCAAATATATTCATAACCGTACGTTTCACGGGGCCAAAGAGGCGGTAAACAAAATCGTTCTGCTCTTCTTTCACTCGCAACCCCCCAAGCCCCCCAAGCCGCGTATTAACGTACCGCCGGGAGGAGCGGCGATATCACGCGGAAAATTGGACGTGAAACGTTTCGCTGCGGCGATAAAGGCGCGGTATCGCAGTGGCGGGGGACATTAGACGTTAAATATCGTGGCGAGGAAGAAGAAGAACAAGTAGAATTTTCATTCCCGTTATTGGATACCGCATTTATTCCGGCGTCGTTCCTCGATTACGAGCGGGAAACGACGGTATCGATTTCGTTTTGCGGGAAACTCGGTGCATCTCTTCCTTGGAGAGATTCACCGCCGCCGCGCGCCACCCTTTCCCCCTCTCTGCACTCCCGTTCCCCTCTTTCTACCTCGTTTCTCCCTGGCGGAACGCAAAAATAACTGGCGGTCTCGGTTCGCGAGTACAACTCGAAGGAATTCCGTTCTATTATGGAGGACAATAATTAGCGCTTCTCTGAAGCTCATTCAGCCAACTTTCGGCAACTCTGCTGGAGCCAACTAGACTCTCGCGCGTCTCTCCGCCGCATCGGTAATTACGCTCGCTTACGAGGACGCTGACAATTCCTCGAGAGACGAAGCTCGATGATCGAGCTTTACGTTTCGACTCGAGAAAACTTGGGTAAATAAACAGGAAACGGTCAACGGAATTGTCTCGCGTGCGAAAATCTCGATCGAATCTTTCAACATGCGAGATCGAACGAGAGGGAACGAAACGAATATTTTCGAGTGATTCCAACGAGTATATTTTCACCGTTGATAATAAAATTACTCGAACGTTGTTGAACACGAAAATGCGAAAATGACGGTGAATCGCAGAGAATCGCAGCAGAGAAGAAAGAGCATTCGTAAGGCTCGTAAAGGCATATAATAGGCAACACATCGAGGTGAGAAATCCTGGTTTTCGAGATACAATTCGGGAAATTTCCGACCACGTGTTCGGACAAAGGGCGCACAAAGCGATGGGGAGGGAGGTGGGATCGGTGGGAAGTGGAGAGAGCGAGGGATGCATACCCTTTACCGCAGGAGAAGGCACTAGAAGAGCTTTAACGACTAACTGGATGCTGCGAAACAATGCATCACGAACAATTAGTTAGTGCGGACGCAGTCGGTGATATTACAAACGGCCATAATTAATTTTAATTATACGGAACAGGTAACGAGCACTCCACTACAGGCAGCTATGATTAATTGCGCGTAGTCAGGCTGGAAGGCATAGATCGTTTCTCCGGATCCGGGGAAACGTTCCGATGTTACGCGTTTAGGTTAACCCGCGTATCTTAATAGCTCACTCGTCTTGCTGTCATCCCTCTTTTCCACCGCTTTCCGTCCTTAGGTATCGCTTTTATTTACCCCATTACGAGATGGTATATACAAACAAGAATTTTCTACACGTTCAACTAGCCACCAGTACTCTCCCTTTCATCTTGATGACATCTGTTTGGAGCGCCAATTATCGTTCGATTTATCAACGACAAAATTCGTGAAAATTAACACGAATCGGAACGATTCACAGATCTATCCGCGATCGCTCGATTGGTTCGAGCACTCTTCCGATTCCGAGAAACCAATCACGGATCGGATCCTCTTCATCCTCCTTCGATTTTCGACGAGGAACCGTTCCGATTACGAGTTCGTTTGAAAAAGGAACAGGAGAGAAAGAGAGCGAGCGAGCGAGCGAGAGAGAAAAAGAGAGAGAGAGAGAAGGAGAGAGAGTGCGCTTTAAAAGAGAAACGGAAAGACGATCGGATCGGACACGGTTCCATCGTCTCCTCGGGTCACGTTTCCATATCTTTTCACGAAAGAGTTTTCGATTCGCGTCGATAGAAGGAATCCGAGGCGGAATACTGGCGCGGAGTTGCGAAAGTGAAGCCCTTTTATCCGACGGGGAACGGAAACGAGGAACGCGCGCGCAAGGCGGCACGCAATATCCGGAGATTTTGGATTCGAAATCGGAGACTATTCCAGCCAGATTTCAATGGTGCGGTCCAATAATCGGAGAGGGATGAGGAGAGGGGGGAACGAAAAATTTAAATAAACGTTGAAAATGGACGAGCCGCATACCTCGCATTTTCTCCGTTCTCGGAAACGGCGATATACGTATGTGGATTATTATTGGGCGGGTTACCGTGTGTGCTCGCACCATTTTATACATACGAAAACGAATAATCCAGATTTGCAGCGGCGGCATGTCAATCAGCCTGGCTATTACCGTCATTATTATTTCGGTTAATTGGATCGCGATTTTCCGTTACATCCGCGCCTATATCGAGAATTATATGGCATTATCGTCTCGAATCTCGCCGCGCCGGAGAGAAACCGTACTGTCATTCGATCGTCGCCCATTCTTCATTCTGATCCGTCTCTCGTTTCTTCCCTCTTCGCGCTTTTTTTTTTCTATTTTCGCTTTTTTCGATTTTCTTTTTTCTTCTTTTTTCTTTTCGCCCGCTATAATTACACCGTCAGCGGAATCGCGAGTGTTCCATTAAAAAGAGACGGAACAAATGGGGGCGCGATTGAAGAGAGAGAGAGAGAAGGAAAAATGTCAGCAGACGAATCATATTCCGAACTGAAGGTAAACGAAAGCGGCCGTTGAAAGCGATCGTTTCGATGATCTTTTCATTCCGCGATGAAAAAACGAAACGGCGAGAATTTACGCTTGTTAGCGGCGAATGGGGGCACGATGGAACTGGGAGCGTCATTAAACGAAACTGTAACATCGCGTGTTTACTTAGCACCTCGGTTAAGTGGCCCGTTTCTTCGCGGCTCCTTTCTTGATGGACAATTAACCGTTATGAAATGCTAATATTTTCGCGGCTGTATCGCGATATCGCGTTACCTG